TTTTTGTTACATTATGTATATAAAGGAAAATATTTGCTCATTGAGACCCCCCCCCACCGTAATATTACCTAACTGGAGTTTCCCACTTGTTTCTCATGATGTAGATAATCATACGGATATGATGGAAGTAGATGGGGATGTTGAAATCCCTCCTAATAAAGCAGTTGTGTTACGGGGCCATGAATCTGAAGTTTTCATCTGTGCCTGGAACCCTGTTAGTGATCTTTTGGCATCAGGGTATGCTTCTCAACGTGATTCTAATGTGGTTTTTAAAAATATGATGAATTGTTGTTCATTATAAATACAGTGTGGATATGAGAAAATAAAAAAATGGAAATAAAGTGTTTGTAAATGGGGAGGAGAGGAGAGGGGGAGGGAGGGCAGGGACAAGGGGAAAAAATGAGAACTAAGACCTGTCATGTAAAGGTACAAGATCCCAATGATGAACGTAACTGTACTATATACCTAAAATGTACCAATAAACTCAATGAGAAAAAAAATAAATACAGTGTGGACCCTGAAGTTGTAATCAGCCTGATGTAAGAACAATGGGTTAATTAGGTTAGTAGAAGATTCTTCTGCCTCTTGTTATCTGTAGTGTATACCCAGGTAAACATCCAGATCTCAGCTGTCTTGACTTAGCTACAGCCATCCCTTGGGAACCAATAGAATTTGCAACTCAGGTCCACTGTATATTATTTTTGTTTCTCAAAGGTTTGTGTTGTTCACTTGTGGTCATTTTGCCTTGTTAGATCTTTATTCCTTCATGAAGAAATTTTAGAACTTTTTTTGTACTGGGGATCTAACTCAGGATGTTGTGCTTGTGAGGCAGGCGGAAGCACCACTGAGCTAAATCCCTGGCCCCCTAGAACTTTTAATTAAACTTAGTTCTGAAAGAATAGAATGTATGGGAGTCCTAAAATGTAAAATGGTGGAAAATGTTGGAAATAAAAATCCCTGATAGTCTATTTTTTGTTTACCTTTTTAGTGATAAGATATAAATGTGTTGCTTTGATTTGAGATGCTTGAGAATGTTCTGATGATTTAAAATATATTGCATACTTTGCAGGTCGGGAGACTCAACAGCGAGAATATGGAATCTTAGCGAAAACAGCACTAGCGGTTCCACACAGTTAGTACTTAGACATTGCATACGAGAAGGAGGGCAAGATGTTCCAAGTAACAAGGATGTAACATCTCTAGATTGGAATGTGAGTACTCCTGTACTGTCCATGATGGGTGTACTTGCTAGGATATGTGGGCCCTGGGAGCCTCAGCTGATGGTGAGATTTGTTTTGGATTTCACTAAGTAATAACAAACCAAGAGTCCCCATCTCCAAATGTGGTATTAAAAAACAAAGCTGATCCTAGAGTAGTCATGTCTCGCATTTCATTTTCTAGCTTTTGGGTTATCTAGCAGCACGACTTTGTATAATTATTACTCAGCCACTCTGTACTTTATTTTCCTGTGTGTAAATTGGAAGTATGAAAATGGTACCTATGGAAAAGAGGTAATATGTGAAAAATGATCAGCATTATAATAGGTTATATACTAAATCCTTAACAATTCAGTCCTTTCTTGGGGGTAAATGAAATACATGTAGCAAAACCTTCTAATTTTGCTTGTTATGTTGTGAATTGCCAAAACTTCATTGCCAACTGCTCTTTAGAGACTGTTAGCTTTGCTAAGATTTATTGTAGCAGTAAGCATCTTAAAATTCTGACTTAGCAAAAAGTTTGATATTTCTGTATGTCTTAACCATTTTAATTTCAAATACACCACATACCTATATGGCTCCTTCCACTCCCCCTCCCCACCTCTACTCTCCCAGCCAAAAACCTCTTAGACTATTTTCATCATTGCGAAGAATATCAAGGCTCACGTGTCTTTTACTCAGCAACTGAGCATGCTTTCCTCCTCTGGCTTCCATTCAACTCTTTGGTTCCAGAGGTTGTTCCAAATCTTAGAGGAATGAAATCTATCTTTTAAAATGAGTATTCTAGATCAGTTTCTCAGTTCATCTGGGATTATTCACGGCTGGGTCTTTCATGTGCAGTTCAAAAATTCCTTCCTACCTGTAAAGTTCATATTGACAGTCATAAAATTCAGAGATATTTATTGCCGTGTAGTTATTTTGGTTGTAGGATTAGGACTGAGAATTAGCTTCTCATTATGGGCCCTTGTTTCTTAGGTCAGAAGGCCTTAGAGTTTTTTAACACTACTAGACTAGTAACTGTATTTAATGAAATTTATAGTTAACATTACAAATGATGGTTAATTAAAGAACATTAGTTTGTTGAGCTTGGTGATTCAGAACTGCAAATTATAGTTTTGAACAATGTGGGCTTTTCAAAAATGTATTATTCATTGTGAACTTGAATATTTTACTAAAAGAGGAAGGCATTATCCTTAATTAATGGTTCTTTTCCACAGCTGAAGTAAGACCCCATGAAATGTCTCCTCTTTAAAGTATTCTTTTCTTGGTTGAGTGGCTCATGAATGAAAACATTTGGGGACCTGTAGTTCAAAGGAAACTTGACATTGTGTAGAGTCTGAAAATAAGAACTTGACTTTGTTTTCAACAGACTTCACCTCCTTAGAGAGAGTCCTAAGGGATTTCCTAGATCCTAAGCAGAACTTTTAGTCACTTGGCTTTGTAGCTGAATGGCTTAAGCGGTCTGAAGTAGGTGATGTTATTTTGAATGCCCTGATTAGAAGCAATCAAGAAGGTGCCAAGTGCGGCAGGATTTCATTCTGTATCTCCAGTAATATTTGCTCATCCCAGCAATAGGATGCAAGATGTTCTATTTAATACAAGGTGTCAATGTGTTACATATTTGTTAAAGCAAGGCACAGGAAAGAAATAGTAAGTTTAGATAAATTTATATGAATTTTTTTTCATTAAACAGTCCGATGCAGTTGTATGAACTTTATTAACTATAAAGTCTACTTGTCCTCTCTTTTGGCTCTTTTCCTTTTGTTGCTTCTTTTATTGGTAAGTATGTTATAGTTGGGAATTCCTCAGTGTTCAAGAATTTGTTTATCTGAAACAGTATTGCTTGGAATATGCACATTTTCTTTAGTAAAGCAGTTAGGAGGGCCATATAACAAGATCCAATTATACTTAAATATTTGAGAGGATTTTGCTTTATCTTGTAGTAAATCTTTTTAAAATTAGGATTTTGTTTCCCTTCCCAATCCACTGTCTTATGTCCCTCCTTCAGGTATGTCTTTGAGAATACAAAAACCTTTGGACATGCAGGACAATTTTATTGCTGACCATGCCCTCAGAGCAGTTACTGTCATTGTTGAGATTTGGTTAAGTGTCTCCCCAGAACACTAACTTCTCAGCAATGAATGTGTTTTGTAGGTCTTCACAAATAGAACATGGCATTCACAAATGGAACTAATAAAGTGTTGAAGTGGAGAGGTCTCCTGTGCTTTGCTGTTTAAATGTGAAGAGTTTAAATAACAATTAAATGGCCTTTTTGTGTATCGTAATGAAAGAAATGTGTTTTTCCGCAGAGTGAAGGTACACTTCTAGCAACTGGTTCATATGATGGATTTGCCAGAATATGGACTAAAGATGGTAAATGCAGCATTTCTCTTTTTACTTTATTGTTGATCTGAGTTTTAAAGTTTGAAATAATTTTAAAATATTTCTTTCTGAATTTTAGGTAATCTTGCTAGTACCTTAGGGCAGCATAAAGGCCCTATATTTGCATTAAAATGGAATAAGAAAGGAAATTTCATCCTAAGTGCTGGAGTAGATAAGGTAAATGGACATTAAGCTAAGTTCTGTAAAGGTTAATATATTACAGAGTGTAATTGAAAGTAAAATTTTCTTTCCTGTTAATCATGTAAACAGAACAGTCACATTTTGGAATTTCACGTAAAAATTTATGATAATAGAATGCTTTCTTGATTTTCTGTCTGCGCATTCCTAAATCGTTCTCAGTTTTGCTGCACTGTGAGCTATGATGAAATGTGATACATCCTGCATTGTTTGGTTTCCTGCTTTTCTCACGAGTGAATCTAGCTCTGGAGTGATTTCATGGGAAATCCTTGAGCCACTTGGTTAGCAGAACCCCTAGTACTTAATTTAAACTAGACATGCAGGCCCTTACTAACTTTCATCTCATAACTAGGCTTGCTGACTGGTAAAATGTGGTCTGGTTCGCTCTACCGTACTCCCCAAAATAATTAAGGGTGTCTGATTGTTTTAAGGTGGGGAAAGATGTGCTAATAATAATTAACTGTGCTGAGGGAGGTGGAGAGAAAACTGGTTCAAGCTTTGTATTATTTGAGTACAAGAAGTAAGAAAAAGGAAGTTTGGGAAGGGGAGAAAAAAGCTTTATTAACAATCACTGCTGCAAACAGTGATTTGGGTTCCTATTTTAAATATTGTCAGATTCAAGCTGCTTATTTTTGTTAAGTGTGAGCTTTTCTCAATATGGAGAACTAGCTGATTTCACTGTCAACAACAAAACAGCTATGGAATCTTACATTAAAAACATGATTGCAGTAAAAGTTTGTAATGCAATTTAATAATAAACACTGTTGGCAACTAATAATTGTTACTTGAAGTGAAGTAACTGATGAAAAATCATGAGGGAAAAATTAAAGTATTTCATAATTTCCTTCCAAAATGGAATATAGCCTTGTACAATTTGGGATAAAATAAATGTTTAAAATTAAAGACATTACATACTGCTTTAATGCATTCAGGCATCCATTTTATGATCAACTCCTTTTAACTTCACACTAACTTACTTTTCTTTTCCTTTTAATCTCAGACTACAATTATTTGGGATGCACATACCGGTGAAGCCAAGCAGCAGTTTCCTTTTCATTCAGGTAAATCTTTACAGTTTTCACAAAAGCTGAAGTTTTTCTCTATATTTCTAATTAAACTTTTAGTAGCATACATAAGTCACTTAAAATCTTTAAATATCAAATCTCAGTCTTGTTTAGTATTCCTTTCAGAATTTGATGTTCTGTGACATTCACATTGTTATTTGTCACAGGATCATCAGATGTTTTCTTTGACGTGTGTGATACAGAAAGCATTTGCTGCCTGGCACAATTAAAAGAGTTATGTGTAATGGGAGGAACACAGAGGTTTGAATTAGATCTGGTTTTGGCAGTTCCATTTTTACTTAAGTTTGAAGACTGAGCACATTGTTTAACCTTTCTGAGCCTTATTTGCTTTCATCTATAATTGAGGGATAAACCTATTTGTTGGGACAGTAAGAATAAATGGCATATATGAAAAAATTGTATAGACACCTATAAATTTAGATATTGTCATTTTCTCATTTTACATGGATATATTAAATCATTCCACCTATATACACAAGTAGAAAACAGACTTTCCCAGTGTGCCCCTTCCTGCATGGTGCACAACCATGCAGCAGCAAATACAACTTGAGAAAAGACAGCTGAGTCAGTACCCTCACTATTTTTCAGCCTCATCTTTGTGTTCTAAGTTTCCTGGCTGCTGTAACCAAATGCTATTAACTACAGCAAGATGCCTAAAAATATTAGACCAATAGCTACTGAGACCTAGTAGCTACTAGGGCCTTTGCACTCCTATGACCTAGTAGCTACTAGGGCCTTCACGCTACTACATCCCCGTGCTTTTTTTTTTTTAAGACAGGGTCTCACTAAGTTGCCGAGGCAGGGTAAGAACTTGTGGTCTTCCTGCCTCAGCTCTCCAGTGTGCTGGTGTGTCAAGTGAAGAGAATAGTAGTTTTAGTACTACCAGATTAAGTTGCTTCTTTCAGGATAATGTTATGGTCAGGAAAGTTTTGGTTTGGAAACTAAGTACCCTGGTTATTTGTAAGTCCTTAGTGACATCATTTCACAAAGGGTTGTGGCACAACACCCCTTTAAATGATGTCAACTTGTATCATCAGAAATTTTTTTTTCCCCTGCCTTTTTCATTTACTGTGACTAAAGCCAGATAAGGCCAGAAATGATTATACTATAGTATCTCAATGATTTAGGTTTGCAAACACTGGAAAAAAAAATCTTAGTAAGCATTTACACAACAAGTTTTGCTTACCTGTTTTATTTCCTTTTTACCTTCTAGTCCACCACCAAATAGAATTTTCTTACATCTCTGACTATTCCTCCTACAGGTTTCTCTTACATTCTGATAGTGATACAAAGTTACAAGAAGTACATATGCTGTCCTTACTAGCTATTATGTAACGAATATCTGCTGTTCTAGAGAAGGTCCTTATTGAGTCCTAACTGGAACATGACTGAACCTACATGTACACCATTGATACTACCACTACTCTAAGATAAATACATCTGTTACCTTCAGAAGCTCCACCTCCCTTGTAATATCATATTCCCTTCCCTGGCAACCACTAATAATCTTTTGTGTCAAAAAATTACTTTTTATTATGCAGATGGGATCACACTGTGCATACTTTTGAGGGTGCTCTGTCTTGTTTTCATTTTGCATGATTTTGAATTCTTTCATGTTGTAACAAATAGGAATGCTACATTCCTTTTTATTACCAGTAACATTCTTTTATATAGCTGTATCACAGTTTATTTAACTACTTAGCTATTGAAATAAATTTGTGTTGCTTCCAGTTTGGGACAATTATGGATAAAATTGTTATACACGTTCATGTCCAAAGTCCTTACCTGGGCATGTATTTTTATTTCTTCTCTGCAGATCACTGCTAGTAGAATAGCTATATCATTTGGTAGCTGTATAATTTATTAAGAAACTACCAAACTGTTTTCAACATGGTTTACTTTCCCACCAGCAGAGTATATTCCAGTCCTTCTGTATTCTTTCCATCATTTGGTATATGGTCATTCTTTTTCATCATATGCCTCTGATGGTTGTGTTGTGATACTTAACTGATTTTAATTTGCATTTCCTACTGACTAGTGATACTGAATCTCTTTTCATATGGTTATATGCCATGTGAATATCTTTTCTGTTGAAGTTCCTGCTTACTACCTGTGATTTAATTGGATTATTTTCCTACTGGTGAATGTTTGAGTCATTTCCTGTTTACAAGTTCTTCATCAGGTATACTTAGCAAATTCTTCTCATCTGTGGCTGATCATTATATCCTTTTAGCAGTATCCCTCAAAGATCTGAAGTTCTTAATTTTGATGAACTCCATAATTTATTAATTTGCTATTTTATGTATCATGCTTTTAGTATGAACCTAATTTGGTCTTTTTCTATTTTCCTGAAGTGGATGCTGAGTTCATTGTTTGAGTCCTTCCTAATGGCATTTAGTGCTATAAACTTATCTTTTATGACTATTTAATGCTATCAGTATTTTTTTATATGTTTTCATTTGCTTAAATTAATTTTTATTTTTTTCTTTGGCTCCATAGTTTATTTAGAAGGGCCTCCATGGTTTCTTAGTATCTGGAGAATTTTCCAAAATTCTTTTTGCTATTGATTTCTAATTTAACTCCCTTATTTCTATAACTGTCATTTAGGCCACTGTGTTCAATAATATTGAAATCTTTTATAGTGTACTAGTTCTCTGTCTTCATTCCATCAATTACTGTGAGACAGTTACTGAAATCCTCAGTATTGGAAACAGTAATTTGTTTGTTTTGAAACTTTGTCAAGTTTTGCTTCTTACGTTACTTTGAAACTGCTATGAGATACAGGACCACTTTGAAGTATTTTGTCCTCATTTTGCTTTGATTCTTTATTATCAGTGCAAATAATAACATATTTAATAATACTAAGGTTATTTAATAACTTTTTTCTTCCTGTTAACAGTCTCTGCTTTGAAATCAACTTTGTCAGCTACTAATATAGCCAGTCCGGACTTTCTTTTGATTAGAATTGAGAAAGCATATATTTTCTGTCATTTTACTTTGTCATTGACGTCTTACTAAAGTCAATTTTACATAACATAAAATTGAATCTTATTTGTTCATTCAATCTCACAGTCTCTGTTATTTCATTGACATCTTACTAAAGTCAATTTTACATAGCATAAAATTGAATCTTATTTGTTCATTCAATCTCACAGTCTCTGTTATTTCATTATATTATTTGGGCTATTTACATTTAATGTCATTAGTGATAAGGATACTTTTCCTTTTCTTATATTTCTGTTTATTTATTTTTACTTTTTTCCCCCCAGTTCTGCTTCTATGTGAGCCAATTAAATTTTATGTTTGTTTTCTTCTTTGTACTATTAAACCTCAATTTGTTTTATTTTAGTGGTTGCATTAGCATTTATGATGTATACTTTAAATTTACTGTCTACCTTGAAATGATATTTAAAATGAGTTTCATAATTTTAAAAAATCTTATGTATTTAATACTTAGGCTACCATTTCCTGCACTCTTTATTTCTTTGTGTAGGTAAATATTTCTATTTCATTATTCATGACTATTGAGTTCTTTAGAAAAGTCTTTATTTCACTTTTTTTTTTTTTTTTTTTTTTTTCAGAGCCTCACAATGTAGTTGAGACTGCCCTGGAACTCACTATGTAGCCCGGGCTGGTCTCAAACTCACAGCAATCCTCCTGCCTCAGCCTCCCGAGTGCTGGGATTATAGGCGTGCAATACCACGCTGGGCTCTCACTTTTATTTTTGAAAGACAGTTTTGGAGACTGTAGAATTTTGGTTGACACATATTTTTCTTCAAGACATTAATATATTGCTCTACTCTTATTTGCATTACTCTCAGTTTGAAATGTGTTGCTTTTTTTTTTTTTTGGTACTGTTAAATAATTTGTCTTTTTTCCCCTCTATTGTTAAGATTTTCTTATAACTGGTTTTGAACAAATCGAATATGTTGTTCCTTGATTAGTTTTTCTAGTTTATCATTAAAATTCCATGAGTTTGTTGAGAATATTTTGGCTTACAGTTTCTTCAAATTTGAAAAACTTTGACCATTTTTTCAAGTATCTTTTTCCATTCCTCCTCTGACATCTTTTTAAACATACAACTCACACACAGACACACATATACATACACACATTAAGCTGTTTCAGGTTGTCCTGCAACCCACTGAAATTCTGTCCTGTCCCCCCACCCTTTCTTCTCTGGCTTTTTAAGTTATGGATAGTTTCTGAACTGCCTTCAGGTTCACAGGTTTTCTTTAACATCTAATCGGATGTTTATCCCATCTATCATATTTTTCATCTCACCTGTTGTAGTTTTTGTCTCTGAAAATTTTATTTCACAAGCTTCATGTCTTTCCTTGTCTTTTTGAACACATATATAGTACTTTAATACTTTTGCTAATCCTAACATTTGTGTCTGATTTAGATCATTTTCAATTAGATTTTTCAGTTTTGTCACATTTTTATGTAATTGCGTGCCAAGTTTAAAATTTTTTTTTTATAGTAATGGAGATCCACATCAGGGGTGCTTTGCCACTAATGTACACACCTACCTGTTTTTACTTTTGAGAATTTCTTGCTAAGTTATCTAGGCTAGCCTTGAACTTGCCGTCCTCTTGCTTTAGTCTCCCCAAGCAGTTGAGAGTATAGGCATGTGCTGCACACCTGGCACCTAATTACTTTTGGTTGGAAGTGAGACATTGTGAATCTTAACCTTGTCAGTTGTTGGATGTTTTTGTATTTTTGTACATAGTTGTGAAATTTATTGTGACATAGTTTACACTATTTGGAAATGATTTGTTATCTTACAAGATTTGCTAAGTGGCAGTGAAACAGTTCTGTGTGAGGCTTATTATTTTTACACTACTAAGAACCTGGTGTGTACTCTTAACTAGTGATTCACAAATCATAACTCTTTTCTAGACTGACTTATGGATATGGGCACTATTTTCAGCCTTGAGTAGTCGGCATTCTTCTTAACTTTTTGAGTGTATCTT